GCTCTAATGCCATCCATTTCCCTGCAAATGCCATGATTTTGTCATTTTTTTAGTGCTGAGTAATACTCCATTGTGTATAAATGCCACATTTTTTTTATCCATTCGTCTATTGAAGGGCATCTAGGTTTGTTCCACAGTCTAACTATTGTGAATTGTGCTGCTATGAACATCGATGTAGCAGTATCCTTATAGTACGCTCTTTTAAGGTCTTTAGGGAATAGTACGAGAAGGGGAATATCTGGGTCAAATGGTGGTTCCATTCCCAGCTTTCCAGGGAATCTCCATACTGCTTCCCAAATTGGCTGCACCAATTTGCAGTCCCACCAGCAATGTACAAGAGTGCCCTTTTCCCCACATCCTCGCCAGCACTTGTTGTTGGACTTCAGAATGGCTGCCAATCTTACTGGAGTGAGATGGTATCTTAGGGTGGTTTTGATTTGCATTTCTCTGACTGCTAGCGATGGTGAGCGTTTTTTCATGTACTTGTTGATTGATTGTATGTCCTCCTCTGAGAAGTGAGTAGAGTGTATTTTGACATATTTTACATACATGGAGTGTAACTTATTCTAATTAGGATCCCATTCTTGTGGTTGTACATGATGTGGAGTTGCCTGGTCGTGTGTTCATACATAAGGACAGGAAACTTGTGTCTGATTCCTTCCGTCTTCCCTATTCCCTTCCCCGCCCTTCCCAGCCTTCCGCTTTGTCTAATCCAGGACTCCTGTTCTTCCCTCCCCACCTCTGTTGTTGTGGGCTGGCCTCATGGAGTTGATTGGTAGGGAGGTGGGTTTCCTTCTCTGAACTAGATTTACAGAATCAGGCTCACCCCGTCCTGGGCAGCTCTGCCAAGCTAGGGCTACCACTGTCACCACCGTGCTCCCACGTGGGGTCAGCATGGAGGAGCCACACTGACTGTGCCCTCTGGCTGGCTTGTTGAGGGAGATGGGAGAGGATGAGCAGGTGGTGTGTGTCCAGATCCACCCAGTTCCACAAACACAGGGAGTCTGCCCTCTCCTCAGAGAGAGGAAAGCTCTCACCGGCAGAGTGCCCCATGACCACCCCGTGATGGAAACAGCAGGGGGCAGTGTTGCTCCTGCCCTTCTCCAGTTCATGCCCAGGTAACTGTGTCCAAGACGCTGCCTGCATGACCAGAGCTGGCAGGTGAATCCGGGTACTCCCAGAATGATGACTATTGCCGGGATTCATTTTCTGGAGGCTGAGAATTCTCCCTGGAGTCTCTAATAGTTCAGCCCTGCAGGCCATTGCCCCACCTCAGGTGTGTCTGTCCTTCACTTATCAGGCTTAAAAACTGGGCTGCAGGGAGCCAGAGTTCATGTCCTCAGCAATTCTAGTGAGAAGAAGTAAGCATCCTTCCTTAGGGCACCAGAGATGAGGAAAACAGGAAGCTCCAAAGATTACTCAGGAAGGACATCTGCCAACCACAGACTGCATGTCACCTGGTGACAGCTTGGCCATCCTAGATTGTGTAAGGACACTGTGATGACAAATCGTGTAATGACACCTTTCAGAAGACATCCCCGTTAGGCCGTGTAGTAGCAACACCTGTAATTCCAGTGACTCAGGAGGCTGAGGCAGAGGATGGCCAGTGTGAGGCCAGCCTGGGCAACTTAGGCCCTAAGGAACTGAGTGAGACCCTGTCTCAAAATAAAAAGTAAAAAGGGCTGGGACGTGGCTCAGTGGTTAAGTGCCCCTGGGTATAACTCCCAATAATGGGGGGAAAAAGAACGTATCCCCATCATTAAGCAGCACTTAACTGTAATTGTAAGATCACACAAGTCACGCAGCATGCATTTGAGGGGAGCCTGACGCTAGACGTCCCTGGCCGACCCTCTACTGGGTCAGGCTTCATGTTTCGTACACAGCTGAGCAGCTCCTTTGCTATGATCTGTTGAAAGTCAACCCTAGACCAAGGTGTAGGGTTAGGGCTCTGCAAGTATGTTCACTGGAAAACAGCTCACCAGTAAAAGGAGCAGCACACAAACCCTTCCTCCTCCACTCACCCTGCACCTCAGCCCCTCCCTCAGCTGACCCTGCTGCCTACGTACTCCGTAAACCTTTTCGGTAAATGTATTAGATGTATAATTAGGGTTATATATTAAGGTTTCAGTATATTTATTGTTACACAAATTTTCTTTAACTTAACACACTTTCAAGAGTCGTCTTGTCCCTAGAGTATATGCACGTTTCCCTTTTAGAGCTTCAGCTGGAGAACACGGTGCAGTCAGCCATTCTTTTCTCTGGTGGTGGCTTTTCAGCCCCTGGCTGCTGCTGGCGATGCAGCTGTGTCTTTGTACTGCTGCAGCACTGAAAGCCCTTGACCTGTCTTTCTTTCCCTTCTCTGTCTTCTGTCCTCCCAGGCATACGTGAATTCAGAGACTCAAGGACAAGTGTGCTGCGGGGGGAGGTCCTTTCCCACCTGACAGGATTGCCACAGTCTGTGTCCAAAAAGGCCAGTGGCAGGAATAGGCAGAGGGCAGCTGGTCATGAGAGAGTTTGGGCTGACCCTCAGGGTGGAAATCTGAGTCACAGCCCTTGGGTGAGTCCCAAGGCCCACCTAGTGGCAGCCCTGGGTTTGTGCATTCATGAGATGGGAAATTTCCAATTAAATGCATCCTCATTTGGAGAAATGGCCTTCTGGGAAGTAACCCTCCCTTCTTCAACAATTCCAGGTGAGGCCCCATTGGAAGTAAATACTTCCAGGTGATGGCAGGAAGTGTATCTCTGACAGGCCCCAGAGGCGTGGCTCTCGGAAACCATCTACTTCCACACCTACCCTCTATTACAGGGAAACCTTATTGGCAGTGGTTGTGGTCACCCTTTTTCATATGGCCTTGTGTCCAGGAGCATTGCTGTCTTTGCTCGGCCAAGGAAGACTGTTCCTGGAGTCTGCCAGCATGTGGTCATCGCTCTGCCTTGAAGCTCAGCATCAGCAGCCCTGC